ATGCAACAGACTGTCTAAATTCTGCTTATATCAGTACCAGCTTACACAGTTTGCTTGCAACTAACATCCTAGGAAACTATTAGGAAATTATAAAGTCATATTATTGAAACTGACGTTTTAGTCTTCCGGGCGTGTGCACATGTAACACAGCTCATCAGAGGGTTTTGGAGTTATGTGGGTGTCACTTGTGACCAGAGTTGTATCTAGAAGGTTGGTTGTGGCTTGGAGTTCATGTGGTTCACAGTTTAACTTTACAAATACTGTAATGAATTCACAGACCCCAGAGGCATAATGCTAATGTGCTCCCACACAGTTAACACCATATACAAAGGAGAAATGATTTGAAGGATTTGTCTTATGAGAACGTGTGTCCTTGAAACTGTCTTCAAGTGAAAGGTAAAAACCTACCTTTTCACTCTGGTTTGAAAATACAGACATGTGTGGTTGTGATCCTGCTGTGTTTATGTGTTTCTGGTTCACTTCGAGGGGGCATGAGAGCATCCATACTGTTTAATAATCAGTGGGATGTTTAGATTTTAGACACAGGTTGGAGCAAAGAGAAGCCAGACCCACCATCACTGGATGCAACACCCCAAACAAGAACCACATGTCCCGCTCCCGGTTTTTTAATTCTCTCTCTCTCATACCCAACTTCCCTCTCTCTGCCCTATCTTCATGCTACAAAAGCTCCCCAGCCCCTCAGTCTGGGAAAGAATGTGGAAGCTAAAAGATTCAAAAACACATGGGGTTAGCCATAAAACTTCACATTCACTCTGTGTACCCTAACCTCCCTCCAGCCCCCAGCCTCATGCTGCCATCCCCTCCAACCACTCAGCCAACTCTGACACATGCACTGACCAACTTGGAGAAGAAAAGCCATACATTCATAAGAGAAGTGGAAACAATAGGATGAGAGGAAGCAACATCAGGCAACAATCTGAGCTGTCTGTGTCAGGGAGCAAAAACAAAAACGTTTTGGGGGGTTGGTGGTGGGACAATGGGGACAGTCAGAAAGAAGGTGACTGCAGGCTAGTGTTCCTGCATGGGCCCAGAACAATGCCTATGCTGTGGCTTGGTGGGGCTGTGCTGCGCACGAGGTGAAATTTAAGACAAACATAAACACCAAAGGAGGACAATGGCGCTCACTCTCTTCACAAAAGATGCTTTTCCTTGAGCTGCAGGGAGGATGTGCACACAATCCCCCAGCCAGCTATCATTCCTCACGTCCTCAGTGCCCTTTTAGCGGCACAGTACCCAATACAGCTGCACTACACTGGCGACAGATAAGGTTTCTGGCCCTCAGTGTCATCTCCTATCTTCTTCTTTTCCCAAAGCATTTGTGAGATACATAATCTCTTCAGATTCCAGCCATGTGTTTATGGAGGGACATATGATGCCTTTTTTCTGTCAGTAATGTTGGAAAAAGTCCTACATTAGATGATTTGATTGAGCTTTCAAATGTTTTTGTCACAGATTCCGGTCATTAAGTTACAGGTGCTTGTAACAGGACCAATCCATTTGTGTTGTTTCAAACTGACAGACCTTTCTTCTCTAATGCTATTCTGTATTTCCTCACTCTGCTATGATACATATCTAAGGCGTGCTTATTTTCTGCTCTTTCGCTGTTTATTTCTTTTTGATGGATAGGTTCTGGCTGTCTTCGGCCGAGCAGCTGTCATTTTAACATGTCAGCAAATGAAGTATTGGTAGAAACCAAAAGCAAGTCATTGGTTAGAAGTATAAAACCATGTGATTGGTCACATGGTAGAGGGATCAGCTACCACAGTGGCGCCTGGCCAGGATCCAGACAAGGCCCCCTGGTTGACCACAGTCCCATGGCTGTCTGGGTTATGCCTGTGTGAAACAACGTTCATGGCTGATCCAGGTTCCAAAGGAAAGGGTCCAGGACCCAAAATTGGAGGTCTCATTTTCTCATATCCATCTCTGGTGGAATGATTGGAGTGTATTTAATTGAGGTTGAGGTTCATGGTGGCAGACAGCGAGCGTTTGAGCCCCCCCACCCTGCGGGCCTCTACACTCAGCTGTACTCTGGTTTGATGTTTTACTCTGCATTAACCTACACTGTGTGTTAATCCACGTTGCCAAGATTTTTGATGAAAAAATCCTTCATATTTCAGAGAGTTTGTACCTACTAAAAAGGCATCTCAGTTGCTTTGTTATGGATTTTCTTTAGAGGGGGTCAAGGTCACATCTCTTATATTATAACAGCCCATTTTGGAAAGTGACTAGCACAAAAATGACTTCACATGGATGTCAAAGCCTTGCCTTCACCAATCAAAGCACATCCATGTGATCCTGGTTCTACTTCCTGTTTACTGTTTAGGTTCCTGCATGCCGTTGTTCATACTCAATGCCTTTGATCCCATATCATCTGAGTGGGACAGGTAGCAGATGTTGGATAGTACTGTGGGAAACAATAGCAGGCTGAGATGTGGACATGAGGGGGCTGAGGTGGCACAAGGTCGAGCCAATCCACAGCGGGGACCAGTCAGTGGCCCAGATAGCTATTGGTGTCTCCTGAAATCTTATGGCCCTTTTCTCTGAGTCTGTGTCCCAGCTTGGCCACCCGCACCAAACATTTCTAGAACTGCCCCTTCAGTATAAGAGTACTTTCTGGTTGGAGGATCTCCGTGCCTACTATAAACCAGTGTGCTGTGTGTACCCTACTTGATGGCGACTTGGAGGCAGCAGGTTACTGTGAAAACTGAGCAAACGCAATACACTATTAAAGATTATGAGATGAGTTAAAAGCTCTGGAGAAAGCCAGTCTGTGGATTTTGAGTTGATTATTTCTTCAGACTAATTTATCTTTTCTTTTACTCACTTTTTCATAGATATATTTAGGTTGTGACTCAGAGGTTCAGGCTAGTGTTGACTTGAAAAGATATTTTTCTGAACAAACACTTCGTCTCCTAAGCGTGAGCAGAGTAACTGATGATCTTCAACAGTTACACTTCATAAGTGTAAAACAGAACCAGCTAAATAAGCCTATGAAGTCATATTGAGCTTGAAATCATTCAAATACATATAAATGAACTCCTGACTGTCAAAGCGCTTTCTAGCAACCTTCAAATGCCCCATATTGTCACATTGCCCACCTTTGTCTGCTTAACCCAGTGCACTCTTCAAAAAGGTGACCCCATCTAAAATAGCCCTCTATACAAAGATGGGTTCACAAGGTTTTCTGACAGTGGAGCGCTGCTGAGTGAGAGCCTCTTAGTTCTAAAGAGTCCAAAGGATGGCCTTCAAGTGTATGCACTGACCTTTGCTGATGAAAGGGACGAAAATGGTATTTTAACAATATCATGATGCCCTTTCAATATGAAAGGCCGCATAAGCAACACTCTTAGCCAATGAAGCTTAAAGGGAGAGAGAGTGGCAGAAGAATGCACTGTGCAAACTGTGTGAAGACATCAGTGTCCATGTGTGTGAAGCTGTAAGGTATTTAAATTAAATTACAAAAAGGAGCCTGGTGCACACTCTGATCTTCTGCAGATAACGTATTACATCTTGCACAGCAGATCTCAGTAGATACAGCACTGAGGAAAAGCTTGACAAAAGCTGGACCAAATACATTTCATGAACTGTTTGATATTGAAGAATAATGCTGGTGTTCTTCTTTTTCCCCTATTGTTAAGCAATCCAGTGAAAAGACCAGAACAGTTTGTATTTGTGACCTATTTACTGTACATCAAACAGGCTTGTGGCTGAGAGCAACACACAGGATAAAGAGGTTGGAAAGTACTGAGAGATACACTGGATGCCTATTGATTTTGGACTTTTCACAGAATTTGATTGCAGATCATGCAGGAGGTGGGATATGATGCAATCACATCTGACGATTCTTAACTACAGAAGTTTCTGAATTAGGTCGTGTTTCCAGTTAGATATTTTTGTCGGTGTCTTCATTGTTCTTACAATTCTGTGCCAGTCACGTGATAGAACGTCCTCAACACACCTACTTGCTTCGTGTGAATACTCTGGACTGTATGCTGCTGTTTTGTCACATGGGCTCACTCTGACATTACACGGACTTCGTACCAGGAAGCTGGCAGGGTAAAGTCTGCTGAAGGTCCGGGTCGAATGACATATTGATATGATGATATGATATTTGCCTTCTCACTTACAGCTCCCACAGGTAATATCTAGATAATTTCAGGGTTCGAGTGCATGTCTGAAAGGGGCTTTTGATTCTCACGGCAATAAATCAGTGCCATTGTTTAGCGTTTTTAACATACGTACATACAGTATGAGCTTGTGCAAGTCTTTTTCAAAATACATCTTATAAATGATGTTATGCTGTTTCAGGATAGGTTTACATTTAGTCACTGAGCCCTTTCCAAACACAGGGGGAAGAATCCACAGGCCAAAGTGAAGGAGCTCGTCTGAAGCTTCTGCAGTTGAAACTCAAGTGGACAGGCTTCAAAGTAGCAGTGGTTTTAGTGACAATTCTGCACATGAAGGATAATAAGAAAAAGGGAATTTGCAGCAAAAAGCACTATAACTGTGGAAGCTACCCACCTGAATTATTTAACTGTAATTTAAACTTTTAAACATATTCATAGCGAGGGAGGCTGTGGAAGCACAATTATCCTGATGCATTATACAGGATTCTTCATGTAGCAGTTTGTTAGCATCCATTTACTAGGAGCCTAATTGGGTCTGTGCACGAGACCACATTACACTCACACACACAATTCATCAAGTGCCACAGGAGGCCCAGTGGTTTGCCATGTAAATAGCCATGTATTTGCCAAATGTCTCATTAACACTGACTTAGATACTCTTCCTGTTTCCTTCTTACACTAAAACACTTGGAGGCTCCGGTGGCCAAATTAGCTTTAATGTCCAACAGGGAGTAAATTAAGAGCTGATACTGGATGCAAAGCTCCCAGAGAGTTCTCACTGGATCCCCTGCACTCTCCACAGTGTCGTGAAGGTTGTTGCACACACTCAAAAAACGATAGGAAACCATTTGCTAATTTGAAAAATAGAACATTTTAATAAAGGCTACATCTCTTCATAATTACAATAATTAAAGTACCGAGACATCTTTTCAACTGAGCTCTATAGAATGCATAATTTACAGTTTACAAGTGGAGCCAAGGAAGCCATGAAAAATATTACAAAACAGAAAATGTGATGAAACAGATACTAAAAGGCATAAAAATATCTTTTCAACATAAGGCCCCTTGAAAAACCAAGGGAGTAATAGGACCCTGAAAACTGGGTAAAACACGGCAAGAACCCATGTAGGCACAGCTACTGTACTCAATTAAAACACTATGGACATAGTGTATATCGCCACCATCATCATCATCACCTGCAGTTCATAGTGCAGACTTCAAATACACACACATGAGCCTACTCAAGAAGAAACCAGTCACACATACACATAGCTAAGCACGTGGGGGGAGCACATTATAGAGCTTCTGATGGTAAATATTAATATAGGTGTAAACACATTTTGGGGACTCGAGGGCCTGTTCAAGACAGTTTCCTCTTAGTACATACGTAGGCTATGTTGTGCGATGCCTGCGCCACTGACAAAAAGGCACTAAGACGTGACAGATCAGGGTTATCTGAGCAGAGTCCCAGAGTTGGGAATTATACATTAATAGCATTTCCTTTCCTTTTTTGTTGTACTCTCAGGGCCCTTCGGAGCAGATGGGGACACAGTCACAAATAGCACTGCAGTAGTAAATATACTATCAAACTATTTATCACAAGGTGATAGATAGAGCCATTCTCGAAGCTTCAGCAGTAAGCCCTCCAGCCAGGAGATCAGAGATGTCTCACTAAATCCCCAGGAACAGGAGTAGAGTTTTTGAAGAGGTATTTTTGAAGTGTACAGTTCTATATGAGGGGGCTGCAAATGAATAAAAGCATTTCCTTTGCTTGAGATGCTCAGAAGAAAGAAATCATCAGCTCCAAGCAGCTTGTCCATGGAAGAATTACAGGGTTGGGGCGAGAATATTTTCAATAAATAGCAATAGAAATCTTTACACAGCAATAAGAGCATCACAATACAATGCAATGTACATGTATATCTGCATATACATATTAGTGATGTGCTAGCAAATGGCCATGGCCAGATGCTGACACAGGCAGGGCCAGGAAGGCTGCCAGCCTCAGATTTAAACCCACTGCCCAGCTTCTTTGACAAGTGGTCATTCACCTGAATTCTCCAGAGTTTTGTCTTCTGGAAATATAGAGGTGTCTCAGTCCAGCAACATACAGCCCATTCTTTTCTTCACTTCAAGGCAGGCTGTTCACATGATAGTCCAGTAATAGTGATCAGTTGTCCTTGTTCCTTTTTCATCCATTCCATTTGCCCAAACATTCCTTCAGCAACATCTCCAGTCCTACAGTCTTAGCTTAAAAGACACAGTTTATTTTGCATGTCAGCATATGAAGGAGTACAGTACATCCATCGAGGTGCTAAGTGTCCAGAGGAATTTATTTCACAACATGGGCAGCGTGGCCTCACTCCATTCTCTCTACCTTGCCCAAGATTTTGCCCTCGTAGGTGGGCAGCAAGGAGCAGTCGTCCGACACCTCCTCGAACACTGCGCCGCACTCAAACTCATCACTGGCCTTCTTGAAGTAGTACCTGCAACAGAGACAGGAAGGTTAATATCACCCTTTTCATACACAGACATCACATTAAGGCTGACAGGGAAACAGTAAAAGTCAAACAGCTTGCAGCCAGCCCTTTTTATTTGACCTTTTTTAACATCAAGCTTCATTTCCGCCTCCATGAAAAGCCACTCAGTATACAACTAACCAAGTTTGCTGAGCGTACACAGCGACTCAGGGTGGGGCTGGAACCTGCTGCTAAACAGTCTTGGTCTAAAATAAGGGGCTCGCTCTCTTCATCCCTCCGTCCACTCTTTCTCTCTTCCACTTCTCGCTTTCCTTTTCCTCCATAATGTTGTTGTGTTTTGCTCCGGCTAACAGGGGCCAATTAGGCCCACGTGCAAATGAAGGGGTCCTTTGACAAAAGCTGAAATTTTGGGTGCCTGCAAGTCTGCCCGTCATTCCCCCCCTCGACTCCTACACACCAGCTCACACACACATGCGCGGCCTTTCACTCGCTCCTCATCCCTTCTTCATTACAGGGACAAAGAAAAGAACAGAGACCACAGAAGAGAAGGAGAAAGAGCATGCAGCACACTGTGTCCTTTTTGCTCCTCTTGACAGCGTGAGCTCTCACTGAAGGCTACAGGAAGGGTGGCCGACTGACAGCTTCTGTGTGTGGGTGTGTGTGGAATAAAAAAATCGTGGGGGGGTTGGGGGCTTCTTGTCAGCCATAACTTTACTGGGCCATTAATGATGCAATCCCCCACCCTCCTTATTTTAGAGGAAGTGAAACCAGCAGGGGTGTATTGGTTGGTGGTGGTGGGGGGGGGTCTAAGAATTAATTCATTAACTATGTAATGGAAAAATTTCTCAACTTGCTCCATGTGTGGGATGAATGGAATGTTTGTGTTTGTGAGCATTTGTTTTTAATGAGGTGGGAGGCTGACAAAGGCAAACATGCAACACTTATTAGGTAAGAGCTGTGGGCTTAAAAAAAAAAAAAAAAAGTCCTTGCAAAAGGTGCCCGTGAGCACACATGCTCCAGTCAGTCAGCAGTTTCATCTGAAATACAGGAAGGCTTCAACTAAACGGAAAACAAGAAACCTCTCAGAATAGAATCAGGAGAGTAAATAAGACACAGTAGATGAGAAATAAATAAATAAATAAAATAAAAATTTAACACCTGATAATTTCATCCCTATTTCTTATCTGGAGGCAGAAAAATAACAGGGCTGTTCTACTCTTTAAAAAAATCTTCAAAGAGATCTTTTTTGCTGAGAGAGACAGACACAGAGCGCCTGAATTTCCACTGGAACATGTTTTATGTGGCTAAGATCTATTTTCCCCCCTTCTCCCTCCACCGCGCTGACATCTGGCACCAATATCGTCTGGCAGGGCCCAGCAGTACTGTTCTTTGTTGAACTGCTGCCATGTTGAAATGACCCAACTCCACACATTCTCTGGCTGCTATTAAAACGCTGCACAGCTCTCTTTTCCAAAAAAGTGTGGATGGTATGACACAGGAACTGAGACAGCGATCCAGAGAGAAAAGAACAGGGGTGGGTGGGAGCAAACAGATGTGAAGAACTAAGTGCTTGTCACATTTGTTGATCCAGAAACACTGTGCACATCTGGACAGGAAGATGTTTCTTGAGGTCCCTTCACTTCTTTCTCCCCAGAAATCACAGTTTGATACCAGTAATTATTAACACAACACTCAACCCGTGCTTATCCTAGACACCATAACAGTCTAAACAGTACATGTTTGATCTCTTCCCAGTAAAGCCCACTGGAAAAAAGCAATCAAAGTGAAATCTCTCTCTGCAAACACACATTGAAGCGGTGTGGCCTCAGTCAAGGCCCCGTAACATGGCAAACAAGCGGATCTGGCATTTAACAATGTACATTTTCAAAAATATCCATAAAATGATTGCAACATGTGTAAACATTGTGCACGTTCAACACAAGTGCATTCGTGATTGTACACACACACACACACACAAAGGAAAAAGCCCCTGATAGCCTCAGTGAAGAATCTGCAGGCTGGCCATTTGTGCAAGTCTTTGTTGGTTGAAACGAAAGGGGCCGGGGCTTCAAAGCCATGTGTATTAAGTGTGCCTTAGCATGGAAATCAATACCAGATGAGACCCAAATCTCTGCAGTTCAAACTCTTCCACTAACCCCCGCACCACCAACCCATCCCCCCAAAACACACACAAAAACCACAGAGGCCTGTGACTGCACACACGAACATAATATCCAAGGTCTCTGAGGTCACAGGCTTTGACCACAATTTAAAGATAGAAATATAACATTACAGTGTAACCTGTAGCCTTTAGCTAGCCAACATTAAACATTCTTCCTTCAGTCTGTGGTTTTCTTTAGTCCTGCTCTGTCAGACTGTGACACAACAACATGACACTTAAGATCAGGGATCACACAGTCAGCCATACAGCTCCCACACCACTGAAGATACTGGATGCTGCCAGTTACTTTGCTGCCTGCATGTGTTACCGCCATTTTGGAAAAGAGAGGTCCATCATAAATCTAGCTACTTTTAAACTTTCAGTTTTCAGGGTGCACCCTGTACATTGTCTATAAGGCAGTTCACGTGCACTCGGTCGTCTCATGTTTTAAAATTCCTTGGTAATCTTTTTTTACATCAGTTTGCCCCTGTGCATTATGCAAATAATATTTCTAATGTTAATTGTTTATAAAGGAGATGCATTAATGTTATTTCTTTAAAAAAAAAAGCAACTGTGCCCCTAAACGTTTTCATTTAGGGGCACAAGGTGCACTGTCGAACTTAAAGGCAGATGTCTGCAATGTCTGAAATAAACCTAACTCAATCAATATTGAATCAGAAATTTAATCAAACTGGGGCTTTGTGAATGGTAATTGAATAAATTCCAGGAAATCAGTAGTGATTCCCAGGCCTAGCAGTTTATAATGATACACCAAGAGACAGGCAACAAAATCATTCTTTGTTATCATCAAGGCCCATAAACATAGCGTTTGATTGCCAGCAATCACAACAGTGAAGGTTCATTGAGATTATGTCACTCTGGACAACTTTAACTGACACGTCTGTGTATCCAAGTTTCCCTCTACACACCTGTAGTTGCCTTTTTTGCGGAGCTGCTCCTTGAAGTGGCCCAGAGTGAGATTGTGGCTCTTCATGGTCCTTCGGTAGGGGATCTCCTCACCACAGAAGAAATACGTCACCACCGTCTCTCCGCTGCACACCCCGTGGCTTCCTAAACCCCTCTTAGACTCCATCACCCTGAAAGAAGACACAGAGAGAGAGAAAGGGAAGGTGAGTCAAAAGGAGAGGACACCATCATGATACTTAACAAGATAATGATCAAAAGGGAAATGAGAATTAGAGCAAAGCTTCTTGGAGACTCCAACAACAATCTGCAACTTGCAGCTACAGAGTACAGAAAACAGAACTAGACTAAAAATACAGCAACAGCACCTTGGCTGAAGAATAACACTAGCCAGTGAGTGAGTGACCCAGTGCCATCAGTAAGTGTGTTCTTGTGTGTTATGGGGCACAGTATTACCAATTCCCCTTCAGCTATGTCCAAGGCTTTGTAGGCCTACTTCAGAGGAGCTCTCTTTGCTAAGCTCTGTTCGCACCAGCCGACTGCCAGCTCACTGAAGGACAGCCAATAAAAATGATACATATATATGAAAGAGATGTCTCAGTCAGGTGGTGCAGTGACTACAAACTCCCCACACATGGCACAAATACACAAGCCAGGGCTCTATGTACATAGCTTAAAATAAACTCTGCAAAGGGGGGGGGAGTTCACCTTCTCTTTCGACTGCCTATTTGTGGGGTTGTGCCGATGTGTTATATGTAGGTTTCCACACAACTATTCATGTCTCCCCACATATGCAGTGAGCAGTGCAGGTGAAAAGTAGGAAGAGTTAAAAGGGTAGAAGTACACTGCAAGGTGGAGGCTATGGCTGAGAGGAGGAGGAAGAGGAGCAGATAGGAGGAGAGAAGAGGGAGGGCGGGGCACTAGAAGCATCGTACTCTTCTGATTGAAGACCGGGGCTGGTCGTGAGAAGGCCGCCAGGGCTTGGATTGGCTAGCGGCAGAGTGATAGACCCCCCACTATGGACAGGCACTACGTTGCTCTTCTCTCGCTGAAGACTGGACACCGAATGCCTGGGAAGAGATGTAAAAGAAACATTATTACTATGCAGAAATGCACACTGATATTTCCTCCAGTGACATTAAACATCAGGGATGGTTAGCAAACATAAGCTAGCAAGAAAGCAAACCAGTTATCTAACCTATACTCTCTACTTTCTGTGTACCTTTGTTTGGCAGTCTTGGTGGAGACTTCCTCCAGTCTGCGGCAGGCCTCCTCCAGCTGGGCTAGAGTGTTGGGAGGGGGCAAGGGAGGCATGGCAGGGTCTTGGATAAATGGCTGGGCTGGCTGGTGGCTACGGAGGTGGCCACAGCTTCCTCCACCACCCCATGTATGCGTCTGGGTGGAGGAGCCTCCAAAGGATTTCTTGGTGCTCTGGGTACTTTAAGGGTCAAAAGGAAATAAGACATGTATCAGCATCCTGCCATAGTGGGTCATTTCAGACAAAAATAACATAAAACTCACACAAACACCTGTGCACTCCAGGTGTGAGCCACTGCTCACCTGTGAGACTTGTGCCTTCCTTGTCGTTTGCTTTCCAGGATCCACTGCAACACATTCTGGGCGGGGTCCATTGTATCGCTTGGCAGCTGTAAGGGCCCACAATCCTCCATACACCTTTCTGCGACTCCATCCTCAGCCCCTGAACGACACACACTCCTGGACAGGGAGTTGGAGCGCCTGGCAGGAAGAGAGTTAACGTGGTCAGTTTTTATACAATCAACTTGCAAAAACAGGAAATAAATGAGACAAATTCTAAAAAGTGCTTGGAACTGACCCCATACTGTTGTCTGAGATGGCCCCACACATCTCTCTACCCAAGCTGCGGCTGCGTTGGTATGGCTGGCACTCGCCACTGCTGGAGCACAGGCCGTGCACCCTGAGTGCTGCCTCCCTTTCAATCTGCTCTTTAGTCTTGGGACTTGCATGATGGTGGATGTAGTGGTGGTGGATGTGTTTTGTGCTCTGCCTGCTTACAAGGGTCCTACTGGGGCCCAAGGACAGAGCGAAGGTCCCTTGGTCAGGGCTAGAGAGAGGGGAACTGGAAGGCCCAGTCCTCACCACAGCCTTGATTCCAAAGCCTGCCCGAGTGAAGGGCCTGTGCTCTGGGGAGCTGGAGCGAGGTGAATGTCTGATGATAGCAGGGGACTGGCAACCAGGGGTCTTCAGGACACGAGAGAGGTGTTCATCCAGGATGGCCTGAGGGTCCTCATCAGAGGAGCCAGGGAGGAGGGTCAGCGGGTGGGGGGACAGCTGGGGAGCACTTCCCATGATCTCTGTATCTTCTCTTTCCTCCTCCTGGTAAAAACAACATGGTACACAGAGTCATTAACTAAGAAAGAACCAACAACTTCACTTTTTGAGTAAGCATCAGAATCACACAAACCTCCTGGATCTGCTGCAGCCTCTCCTCCAGAGAGTTGAAGGTGTCCTGCTCTCTCTTCAGGCTTTCCAGGCGGGAGATGAGCTGGGCTGCAAACTCTGCTGGCTCCACTGGGGCCATCTCCTTGGGAGGCCGGCGATTACGCTTTGGGGGAGAAAGAAATATATCGTCTCTTGTATCATCTCTGTCATCTCTATATAACCAAACCCAAGCCTTCCCCGACTTCCACAAAAACATCCATACACCTCTCGCTTCATTGTCTACATTTATTCATTGTTCTCGATCAGTGCCTGCTGATCAGGGGAGTCTCAGGAACCCAGGGCTACAGGGTTGTTTCAAGGGGTGCTAGTCCTGGTGGACAGTCATGATGGGCTAGGCCTCGGCTGGTTCTCCCTGTCATCATCAGCAGGCCTTTTTAAAGTCAGCTCACTTCAAAGGCTTTCTCGTCAAATATCAAACACTCAGTGGGAGGAAAATAGGGCGGTAGAAAGAGGGATGGAGGGATAGATAGATGGGAAGCAGTGGCTTTACAGCTAGGAATAAAAGCCAGATATCAACAGGGGGTGGAAGAAAACTCCAGGGAGGAAAGGATGAGGGATTAGAAAAACTGGAGAAGTCGAGATGCAGAAATGTGTGCTCACAGGAGGGGAGAGAAAGAGAAAATGAAGAGAGGGAAGAGTCAAAAGGATGGAAGATCAGAAAGGTTGAGGTAATTTATTCCCACCCTTGTCACACACTGGGCACCTTTGAGGTACAATGTAGTGACAGTATAAGAACGAGCGTGTGTAAGTGTGCACACATCTTAAATTATTAGCATTTTTGCACTGGGGCCTTCTTGATTTTTCTTCCTCTTTTTTGCTTCTCCCATCCCTTTGTAGTAGCGATGAAGGGGAGCTGTCTGATGCAGCCTGGGGCTGGTGCACCATGGGAATGGCATTCATTGCCAAAAATCAGACAGGAAACAAAAACAAGAATAAAAGTGAAAATAAAGCAAAAACGGGACAGTGAGAGAAAAGTGGTGAGAACTGATCTGTGGATCTTTTCCTAATAAAAGTAACACTTACAGTACTGTAACAAGTTTATTTTAACAAGTGACTCCAGTTATTACAACTTCAAGATGTGTTTGTGCCTCAGTTTTAACCTTTTCCTGTTCTTCTCTCAATCCGAAGATGGCTGCTTGTAAGCCTTCAGCTATGCCCTCTGACCCATGGAGAGCTCACGACATGCTCATACTCTTCCCTTAGATGCTGCTCTTTTGGAGCAAGGGGGCTGGTTGAGTGTGCATGTGTGTGTTGATGTATATTTAAGGGGTGGGAGTGCTGTGGAAAAAAAAAGGAGGGGCAGCTCTGTTGGAAGTTGTCACTTCCCTGTATGTTTGCTCCATTCAACCTTGGATCAAAGTGCTGTGGATGCCTGCCTGTGTGTGAATGTGTCCGAGTATCTTGTGTTTTTGTTAGGGAACCGAGCTGATTTCAGAGCCCCCGGGATAAAGCCGCAGAGATCTTCCTCATCTGTCCCTGTTTTTTGACGTTACTCTTCAGATCTTTGCTGGTGTTGTTGAATTGAGAATGCACACAGAGAATACACTTTGCATGGTACTATTCATAGAACCAAGAGAGACCCGAAACAGAGGGTGGTATGGAAATTACACTGTGGGACTCAGGTTCAAAAAGACATCTGAGCACGTGCGGTATGAGTGTGATTGTATACTTACAGGAAAAGCAGGCAGAGAGACTTGGCTGTTCATCCTCATGTTACGCTGCATCTCTCTCTGTAGCTGTTTCTTGGAGCCCAGTTTATACGGAGGGATGCCATCCCTGGGGGTGTACAGATCACAAAGGTCAATTACCCAATCAGATACATCATTAAAAGACCAAACAGACAATCAGGAATGAGCTTGTTAGCCAACTGGGGAGATCAAACAGCTCAAGCAAAAAGAAATCAAATCTATTAATTATCCTACCCATTTAAAAAAAAAAAAAAAGCACAACGCTGGGCACCCTGCTGATCATTTCCTTTCACACAATGCACTACTGCCCAGAAGCAGTTAGGTATTAGCATTCCCCTTCTGACTTTTATGTTGAGCTGAGGACACTGTTAGCATTAGCTGCTCATGATACTTATACATAGTGTTACCGCAGGACAGGACCCACGGGTGTAGCTAACCTGATTAAATCTATCTGAAGGACTGAATGGCTGACTGGCTAAAAAAATGTAAATCAAACAAGAAACAGCAAAGCTCAAGCTTCAAACTGAAGCACTGACAATGTAAAACAGTCTCCTTTCTCCCATGCTAAACAGCAGTTTCCCGGTGACCTAGGCTAACCGAGGAGCACTTTTCCATATTTGCTTTGAAATGCCACAGTCATGCGCATAAGCAACCCCCCCCCCCAGTCTTCATTTGGCAAGCGCTGCCGCAGCCAGCCTCTGATCTCTGCACATCAAAAGGCTGGTTTGTAAGATAAGGTAATGTTTGAAGTCTGCGCAGCTGCATTCCCCAGCGTCCAAGCAAATCCATAAATAAGATTATTGGTTCTTTTAACTGACCTAAAGAAACACAGATATTCTGATCAAGGCCAGATCAGGCAGGAAATGAAACGAAAGGGTTGAGTCCCTGTGGCCAGGGTTTTGTCAGTGCACAGGACAAAGTACGGCAGAACAGAAGTATATGAGCCTCGGTCGCTTTGAAGCAGGGCTGTGCAGAGATGTGGCGGAGTAGAGGACTCCCTCTTGTAAAGAAAGGAAAAACTCTTTATAGCTGCCATATATATGTGTAGCCCTAGCCCACTGGTTGCAGTGAACACCAGTGTACAAGTCTTTAACAACTAGAGTTAACATCGCTGTTTCACTGACATCATTTATGTAGGCCTTAACACCTATCATGTGAGATGAGGTAAGGAAGGACTTCTACCAAGATTTTTCTGTTTTGCATCCAAACCAGCTGACTTGATTGCTCCTGGCCTTGAGCTGTGCCATGCCATGACTTCATAGTACCTTGTCACTTAAAAGACACGTAATGACACCAAGAGGAACGAGGCTCGCGGCACGTACATAGATAAGCACAAACCACTTGTGGACAGTTGTATAGCACTTGAGCACTATTTCTGTAATGAAGTAATCAGTCGGCTCCTTGTTTATTCAAGCACTAGGCAGTTAATCGACAACAATTTTAATAAATTAGCAACTGTCTAAGTATTTAGGAAGCAAACGTACCAAACATTTGCTTATTCCAGGTTGTTACAATGTGAATATTTGCTGTTAGTCAGATTAAACAAGCTAGCATGAGCTCTCAGAACATGTGATGAATATTTGCACAATTTTCTGACATTATAAAGTAAAATATGAATCAATTAACCAAAAAAAGTTAAGCAGATTGGTCAATATTGAAACTATCTATAGTGTCCATGCCCACTGATGCACTAAATGTGAATCCTTTGTTCTCATTCTCATCTATCACCTCAAAAAGTCCTTCCAAACATTTTACTGTACATGGGAAAGTATAAACAAAAAGTTATTTTGGAATACAAGGATGGGGTCTGGCATTGACCTGTGCCATATCCTGGCTGCTGCACCGTCTTCAAAGGGCCAAAATTAATTGATATTTCCTGTTTGGCTAAAACTCAGCAGCCAGCTAAAGGAAGGCGCTGCTTAATCACCTTTTTTTTTTTTTTTGTAGCAAGTTATTTCACATTCCTGAAACGCCCTCCTGTGTTGGCATTCTCCCACATTAATATTCACTTACACACTGCTGTCCGTCATGGACATGGCATCATCGGTCAAAGCGTCACTGGACACCTCGCTGTCATTGGTGCTGCCGACAGGGGCAAAAGAGCCCACATGGCAGGAGCTGAGGGAGTCTCCTCTCTTGTAGGATCTGGGAAGGTTATAAGAACATAAATAAGATTAATGTTAATGCAGTCAACAGGTGGACAACATTTCCCTTCTACTTCTTGAGGAGCAAGTTGAGTGTGTTTCACTTATGTTGACGATCTGAGCAAGACGGGTTGCATCCCCTGAGGTTTTAATGACACCAAGAGAACACCTGATCAGATGAGGGAGTGTGCATGCATTACTTTGTCAGACTGGCAACCTCCTCCTCTAAAACACAATGTTTTGTTTTTCTCCGTATGCCCCATTTATCCCTGCTGAAATAACCCATAAAATATCTCCTTC